AGCAACACAGATGTGAATCCTTTATTGAAGATACGTTTCGCCACACAGTTGGCTTCATCATTCCAATTACAAATTAGAAATGGGTAAGGAGAGTAGAGTTTGAGGTAATCAGTCCCTCAACCTGGAAATCGATTTGTTCATTCAGTCCATCACTCTTGTAGGAAGTGCACACAGGGCAGAAAAAAAGAGGTGGCTTATATACTGCGGTGAGATGATTGAAGCAGGAAGAGGCGGAATCACAGTGGGAACCTGCCACTAGTGTAAGTAGGTTCCTCGTCCAAAGGTTGGGCCAGCGTTGAAGTCTTTGTATCAAGATCCCATTATTTGCAAGTTCCCGACATCTGTCCAGACACGCAACATCATGGGATCTTGGTACAAAGACTTCAACGCTTGCCAACCTTGGACGCACGACCTACTTACACAAGTCGATTCATCACACCTTATTCCCTTACAATCCTTTCCCTTGGCTTTTTGGGCAAATGCCTTAGCATAAGTCTTGTCCTCCTTCCTTTCCACTGGTTTTCTCCATTTAAAAGGTGTGTACCTCTTACAGATGCCTATGTCTTATTCTGGTAATTGGCTTGTAAACTCGCTCAGATAATTACCTCATATTTCTAGGGCCTGTATCCTGCTTCTGCAGCTTCAGCTTGTGACGTCCCAATCGTCTTCTCTTCTACCTCCATTCTCTTCTCCATTTCAGTGAAAGCTCGCTGTTGTTTCTCTCCATTTCTTGTGTGTGTATGAGTGTGGGTGTACGCGTATAGGTGTAATAAGTGTGGTGTATGTTAGTGTACTCTCCAAATTGTACTCACCTAGTTTAGGTTGCAGGGTCGATCCAAGCTCCTGGCCCTGCCTCTTCACTGGTCACTACCAGGTCCACTCTCCCTGAGCTATGACTTTATCATAACCTCTGCTTAAAGCTCATGTAATGGATCCTGGCCTCCACTACATCGCTTCCAAACTATCCACTTCCTACTAACTGATGGCTGAAGAAAATATTCCTAACATCCCTGTTGATTCCATCTGTGTCTTCCAACTTCCAACTGTGTCTCCTTGTGCTGTGTCCCATCTCTTGAACAACCTGTCTTTGGTCCACCTTGTAATTCCTAATCAGAATTTTGTATGTCGTTATCATTCCCCCCTATCTCTCCTGTCCGCCAGTGTCGTCAGTTGATTTTCCCTTAACCTCACCTCTAGGACATAACATCTAGCCTGGAACTAGTCATGTTGCAAACCTTTGCACTATCTTCTAGTTTCTTACGTGCTTGGCTAGTGTGGTTCCAAACTGGTGCCGTCATATTCCAATATGGGTTCTAACGTACACACGTGTACAGGGTCCTGAACGATTTGCCCTTATTAAGATGTCGGAATGCCTGTTCTGAGGTGTGCTAGGCGCCAATAGCTGCTGCAGTATTGGTTAAAGTGCTCCTCAGAGATGTGCCTGCTGTTTAATACTCACATCCAAATCTCTTTCCTATGAGTGAGGTATTTGTCTCTGGCCCACTAGACTGTACCCCATCTGCTGTCTTCTGTGCTCTTCCCCAATCTTCATGACTTTTCCCTTGGTGGGGGTTGAACTCCAGGAGCCAATTTGCTGGACCAGGTCTGCAGCCGTTCCATAATCTCATTGTAGTTTCTGGCTGTCCTCGTCCGACCTGAATTCATCTCATCAACTTCACATAATCTGCAAACAGGTGACACTTTCGGAGTCTTAATCCTTCCGTCATGACATTCACAAATACCAGAAACAGCAACCGGTCCTAGGAAACGGATCCCCTTGAGAACCCCAATCAATACAGGCTACCACTCTGACACCTCGCCACGTACCATGACTCGCTGACAGGTATTCCTTGATCCCATTATAGTCCCTTCCCAGTTATCCCTGCCAAGTCCTCCAGTTTTTGCACTAATCTCGTGTTTTGTAACTGTGTCAAATGCCTCCCTACAGTCCCATGAAATGTTCAGTCTAACCCACCCCTCTCTCTCTTGTCTTACTGCTGTTACCACTGTCATAGAATTCAGTAGATGTTGACCAGACTTCCCCCATCCCTGAAACCATGTTGGCTGTTGTTGATGAGCTCATTTCTTTCTAGGTGTTCCATCACTTTTCTGATAATCTTCTCTATGACTTTTCATACTATACATGTCAAGACACTGGTCTGTATATAAACATTCATGTCCTGTCTCCGTATTTAAAAAATTGGGACTACATTTGCTGTCTTCCAATCTCAATATAATCACCCCCGTTTTGAAAGATGTATGAATATTGTTGTAGTGGTACACATAGCACCACTACTCCCTCTCCTCAGACCCATGGAGAGATGTTATCTGGCCCCATCGCCTTTGAGGTAGCTAGCTCACTCAGCAGCCTCTTCCCTTTTTCCTCGGTTGCATGTATTGTGTCCAACACATGTCCCACCTCTCTGTTTTTCTGGAGTCCCTTCTGTCTCCTCTGTGAACACTTCTTTGAATCTCATGTTGAGTTCCTTTCTTACTTCATGGTCGTTTCTTGTCTCTCCTCCTTCCTTCTTTAGCCTCATTACCTGGTCCTTGACTGTTGTTTTCCTCCTGATATGGCTGTATAACAGCTTCGGGTCAGATTTGGCTTTCGCTGCTTGTCGTTTCGATATGTCGTGGGCCTTCCTTACTCACCTTGCATATTCATACTGGTTCAGCGACTGCTCTCCTTATTCTCCTGGGTTCATTTGCCTTCTATGCTTCTTCCATTCCTAGCACACTTGATTTTTGCCTCCCCACACCTTTGGGTGAACCATGGGCTCATCCTTGCATTTTCATTATTCCTGTTACCTTTGGGTACAAACCTCTCCTCAGCTTCCTTGCATATTGTTGTCCCATATTCCATCATCTCGTTTACTGACTCCCTGGCAGAATTCTGTCCCACTGAACCCCGTTCAGGAAGTTCATTCTTGTGTAGTCCTCTTTCTTGTAGTTTTTCATTTACATGGCCCTTCCTGCTTCCCCCTCCACTTGTAACTCTATTGTGTATTCAAAGCTTAAAACCACATGGTCGCTGGCCCCAAAGGGTCATTCATATATGATGCACTACTCAAGGTGAATAGTAGGTCCAGTCTCGCTATTTCATCCTTTCCTCTCTCTCTGGTAGTGTCCTTTATGTGTTGGTACATGAAGTTTCCAGTACCACCCCATTATCTTAGCTCTCCGTTTCTTTGTCCCCATGTGGCTCCAAGTTCTCGCAATCGATTTCCTTGTGGTTGAAGTCACCCATGATCAATAGCTTTGCCCTGCATGCATGAGCCCTTCTGGTCACTGCAGCCAGTGTGTCAACCATCGCTCTATTACACTCGTCATATTCTTTTATTGCCTTGGCCATCCTGCTGTTCTGTTGTGGGTTATACATCACTTCAATTACCACCTTGGAACCGCCAGACCGAAGCCTTCCCACTATGTAATTTCTTGCTTCTCCACTGTCTCCTCTCACACACTCATCAAAATTTCCATCGGTTTTTGATCAGCATGCACTCCTCCTCCCCCTGTTTTCCCTCTGTCTTTCCTCAGGAATCTGAAACCCAATAGAGACGGCATCTGTATCATACCTTAAAGCTTGGTTATCAGTGAGAGCTATGATGTTGGAGATGCCTCTACTCGTTCCCTGCCACTCCTCCCATTTGTTATTCCATCAGCATTTGTGTACCATACCTTCAATTTCCTCTCTAACACTGTGTTTTAGGGGGTCTGGATGGTGGGGGACCTGGTAGTGTGGATATGTAGTTTTGGTTGGGATAGTGTTGATTGATACTGTGGGGTTCGGGAATGGTTTTGTGTGTGCTTGCATCTGGTTTCTTCTCTCGGCTCGGCTCTAGTTGTCTTCTGCCTGATTCTGCCCTTGGTCACTCAATCCTACTCCTTCCACTTATGCGTCCTCGCCCTCAGCCTGCTGTCGTTCTGTTGGGTTCTCTTGTCTATGAACACTCTTCATTGTATTCTGCCGAGTACTTCAACCATGGTTCTCTCAAGAATCCTTGTTCTGCACTGTTTCTCTGTCTTGAAAAAAATCACCTAGATCATTCACTTTCTTCTTCCCCAACAAGTGTACCACCTATTCACTTAAATTTTGCAATCACAAAAATGTCTTCATCTTATTTCGGTGATATTATTCTCATATCTACCTTCTTTTCTGTATCCTGTCCTTTCAGTGTGTGACCTTTACCTTGGCTTTCCTGAAGCCCATGAATAAATACTGACTTTGCCCTCTCCTTCTCCCATTGTCTTTCCCTCTGTGACTCTGATTCTTGTCTGTACATGGCCATTTTCTCCCTTTTCTTCCTGTAGCTCTTGGTAGCATGGTCGTGCCTCTGCATTTGACCCATCACACACACTCCACCTGCACCCAGCTGCTCTCCCCCTTCATTCCTTGGCCCTGCTTAGTAGACTGATATGGCCTTAGCGCAAGTTATATCTCCTTCCTTCCCGTTGGACCTCCCAGCTTCATATGCTGTCTTCTCTGGTCAATACCTCTGTAACTTGCTTCAGCCTGTTTACCTTATCTTCTAGGTCCGTTACCCTGGCTACTGCAGTTTCGTCTTGTAGCCCTTAATTCTTCTTCTCCTCCTCCAACCTCTTTTCCAATTTCACAGAAAGCTTTGCCTCCATTTTTGCAGAAAGCTCTCCTAGTTTTCTCTCCCAATCTTGTTCCATCCTTTTACACTGCTCCTCCATCCACTCTTCCCTACCAGGACCATTCTCCTCTGGTCCCTGGGTCCTTCGAGTCCTCCTCTGACCCACCATTTTTTGGGGGGGGGAGGGGAGAGAAGCAAGACAGAGAGAGAGAAAAAGAGAGAGAGATGGAGGGAGAGCGGGAGAAAAGGGAGATGTAGAGGGGAAAAATAGAGATGGTGTATATGTGTGCGCCGCACGCCACGTGCATCTTTCTTCCTCTATCCAAAAATGTGTAATTTTGGTGTTTACTTAATTTTAAAATTTAGAACAAAAGATCCACCATTCATCTCAACACTTCAAATGTTCGAGGGAGAAAAAGTCAACTACTGTCACATTAACTGCCATAAGAATGGAGTACAGGTGGGAAAGGATATTCCTTTTATAGCTGAAGTTGAGTTACCAATTTTGGCGCTAAACTCCTTAGTCACACTCGGTCTGTAAAAAAAAACAATCGTGTTAACTGTGCTAGGAAAATTATGTAATCATTTTTATATAAACAGAACAGACAAAACAGACCAGAGACTCAACACACACACACAAACACAGGAGTAGAAAGGAAAAAGCCAAGAAATTATAAAAGGGGCACAACATGAATGAGGACCTTCCTGCAGGAGCTTCAGTGGAACAGGAGTTGGTAGAAAATCATTAAACGAAATGGACTTCGTATCAACAAAAATCAAGGAGGCGAGAAAGGTTTGTACCCAAGGTAACAGAAATAATGGGAAGGATCGAAGAGCCCCTGGTTTACTCGAAGGTGTTATGGGATTGCAAAAACTAACGTGATTCTAGAGAATGGGAAAAAGTACAGAAGGCAAAGGATAAATAAGAGATTAAGTCGGAAGAGCCAGAAAGCGAGTTGATGCACACATAAGGAGGGAGGCCGCAGCGGCCTATAAGAAACGATAAAGCATCGAAAGTCAAATCTGACCCGAAACTACTTTACAGCCACATCAGGAGGAAGACAACAGTCAACGACAAGGCAATCAGGCTGAGGAAAGGAAGTGGGTTGCTCCACAAGAAACTAGCAATACGTTATGTGAGGAGCTCAACATGAGATTTCAGAAGATGTACAGTTTAGAGACGGAAGGGAACAACGGGAAGACAAAAACGGTGGGGTACATCAACAAGGGATATCCAACAAGTGTTGGATGAATTACACATAACTGAGAAGGAGGTGAAGTTCCTAAGTGACCTTGATTCCTCAAAGGCGGTGGGACCAGACATCTCTCCGTGTGTCCTTAGAGAGGAGCAGAGACACTACGTGTGCCACTAACCAAATCTTTTCAACATTCCCTTAAACAAGGAAACTATACCTGAAGTATGGTAGAAGGCAAATGTAGTCCCCCATCTTTAAGAAAGGAGACAGAAATGAAGCACTAAACTATAGACCCGTGTCACTGAACTTGTATAGATGCAAAGTCATGGAGAAGATTATCAGGAGGAAGAAGTAGTGGATCACATGTGAGCGAACAAGGTTTATAAATGACAGCCAGCACGATTCATGGAGGCAAATCCAGTGTCACAAACCTACCAGAGTATTAAGACAAGGTAACTGAAGTACGAAATGAGAGGGAGGAAGGTTTGATTGCTTATTCTTCTTGGACTGGCAAGAAGGCCTTCAAAACACAGTTTCCACAAGAGATTAGTACAGAAGCTAGAGGAACAGGCACATATAACAGTAAGGGCACTGCAATGGATCAAGAATGCCAACAGGGTGCAACAGCGAGTCATGGTACTTGATGAGGTATCATAGTGGGGCGCCAGTGATGACGAGTTCCCACAGGGGGTCAGTCCCTGGCTCCAGTGCTATTCTTGGTAAATGCGAACTACATGTTTGAAGAGATAGACTTCAGAAGTATCCCTCTGTAATTTTTTTTTATTTTTTTTTATATGTTTTGATTATTTTTTTTATTTTTATTAAATTTTTTATTTTTTTTTTATTATATTTTGCAGATTATTTGAAGTTGATGAGGAGAATTAAATCAGATGGACGCAGGAACAACAGGTCTACAAAGAGACCTGGACAGGCTGGATGCGTGAATCCAACAACTGGCTCCTAGTAATTTAAACCCCGCTAAATTGCAAAGTCTTGAACGAGAAGGTCAAAGAAGACCCCAGACAGAGTATAGACAGAGGCCAACGACCTGCAAACCACACTACAAGAGAAAGACTAGGAGTGAGTATGATACCGAATACATCGCCAGAAGCACACATTAACCAGATAACTGCTGCGGCATATGGGCGCTTGGCAAACTGAGAATAGCGTCCGGTACCTCGTAAGGAATCGTTTCAGACTTTTATACACTGTATACGTCGGCCCATACTGGAGTTACGCAGCAACCAGTTTGGAACCCACACCTGTCCAAACACGTCCAAGAAATTAGAGAAAAAGTGCAAATGTTTACAACAAGGCCTAGTTCCCTGAAGCTATGAAGAAAGGTTAAGGGAAATCGTGTCGACGAACAAGAAGAACCAGGAGATCAGGGAAGTCATGATAACGACATACAAAATCTGCGTGGAATAGACAAGTGGACAGAGCAGGATGTTGCAGAAGAGAGGGACAACAGAAACATAGTCCAATTGGAAGTTGAAGATTCATGAGTATCAAAGGAAGTTAGAAGTAATTTTTCAGTCATAGAATATTCAGGAAGTGGAATACTCTGCAAGTGAGTAGTGGAGGCCAGGAACCTACACAGCTTATGAACGAGGAATAATAAAGTTCATGGAGCAGGAAGAAGAGAGGACCTAGTAGTGTACATGAAGAGGCGGGGCCTAGAGCTGAGTCTCGACCCCTGCACCACAATTAGGCGAGTACAATTAGTGGAGTACAACACACACTACACACACACACATACTGAAAGCATTACGGGCAGGATATCAGAATTGCTGCATCAAGAGTTTACCTGGAGAGAGTTCCGGGGGTCAACGCCCCCCGCATCCCGGTCCGTGGCCAGGCCTCATGGTGGAACATTGCCTTATCAGCCATGGCAGACTATTTACTGCTGGCTGCACGCAGTCCAACGTACGAGCCACAGCCCGGCTGGTCAGGTACCGACTTTGTGCCTGTCCAGTGCATGCGTGAAAACGGTCAGGGGTCCTATCGGTAAATCTCCCCTGATGTATGCTGTGAGGCATATGAATATCTTGGGCCCCCTGACACTTGTGGTATGAGGGGATGTTGCATCATCGTCATGCAGAGTCTTTTGCTTTCGTAGGGATGATTTTCGCTGTGCAAGTTTGGTACTATCCCTCTATGATTTGGCCAGTGTATATAAATCATTATCTCACCCGCCTGCGGTTCCAGGGAGTACGGTAAGGAACTTCAATCGTGGTCCCATAACTGAGTGTTTTAACTCATTATGCATGCTGTGAAGGTTCCCTGCACATTTCAAGGCCAGCATTTCACCTGTCCTTGAAAAGGTGCTGTATTAATGTGCAGCAATATTCCAAGGGCCTAGAAGAACAGGCTAGCTGAAGTATCATTATGGGCTTGGCATTCCTAGGTTTTTAAGGTTCTCATTATTCATTCTGACAATCTTCTAGCAATGCGATTGAATACAATATTATGTCCCTTGAAGGTGAGATCCTCCGACAAGACACACCAAGGTCTTTGGGACGTTAGTTTTTCGCTCTATTGTGTAGTTGGAATTTGTTTTATACTCTTATGAAATTTTAATTCCCCTCAACGTTTTACCACATCGTAGTCATAGAAATTTCCTCATCGCTGAAGCTTCATATGTTTTCTGCAGCCATTTAAAAGATTTGGGTGATGTACGCCTGGCTTCCTTGCAGTGCATATCATAGAGGACACTACCCATGCAAATTCGGGTGTCATCTACAGAAGGAAGAGACGGCAGGCACTTGCTTATTATATCCCTGTCAATGTCCGATATGAGGATGAGGGAAACAGAAGGGAGCGAGTACTGTGCCCTCAAAAAAGGGACTGTAGGGAACAAAGGAGTTAACTGTACGAGGCCGTATCAGACCTTCCTGGCGCCCGAGAAAAAGAACAAAAAGCACACCAGAACATAAGAAGGGACTACAAAAACGAAAGTGCTAAGTTATATGCCAAGTAATATATAAATAACAAAATAGGCACAAATACGGAGCAGGAACGATACACAAATAACCCGCACATAAAAGACAGAAGCTTATACGACGACGTTTTCGGTTCTCGACTTGGACCATTGACAAAGTCACACTACTACAACAACTACTACCACTATAGGTCTACTACCACTACCTCTCGCCTGCCTATAAATAGCCGTTTCTGCTCCTCCCTGTTAGTGTGACATTGTCAATGGTCCCAAGTCGGACCGAAACTTCGTCGTAAAGCTTCTGTCTTTATGTGCGGGTTATTTGTGTAATATGCCAAGTCTCACTGACTGCAGCTGTGCCTAGGAAAAGGATTAGAGAAGGAAAAATGAACAGACCCACTGGACACAGGGCCAACATAAGAAGGATACCTACTACAGACCTACAGACCGATGCAGAGCACGTCCATTCCTCCCTCCCCTCCGGATTAGACCAATGACCCACCCAATCTGGTCACCATCCACTCAAGGAAAGAGCACGGCACCAATACCCAGCACACAAGCAAGTCAGGTCCAACTCAACCCCCCACACCCACTCTGTAATTACTAACCTATTTTTTAAACTATACAAATTTAGTCCCCTAAAACTGTATTCGGGAGTTTGTTCCACTCATCCACAACTCTATAACCAAACCAGTGCTTTTCTATACCTTGCCTGAATCTGAATTTTTCCAATCTTGAAACCATTGCTGCGAGTCCTGCGTACGTGGCTGAAATTTTCAACAAGCTTTTTTAACAATCCATTTATTTATTCCTTTTTTCCATTTATACACCTCGATCATATCCCCAGGGCCGGATTAATAAGTCTCCGGGCCCTAGCTATACAGATTGGCTGGGTCCCTTTGATTACAGGGTGGGGGTGGTGAGCCTGTTTAAGGTCAAATTAAATACATTCTGGCTATTTAGATTAAATTAATAGGAAAGAACCTCAAGAAACAACCAAAACCATTTCCAACAGCCATTATAACTATCTTGTTAAATCATGCAATTATAAATGTCTTGTTAAATCATGCATTTTAAAGAGAATAAACTCAAGACAGCATAGTATTGACATCAAGTACCTATTATATTCAGCAAAACCACTCGCAAGCACTATTAATCCCTTAAAAAATCACTGACCATTATTGTTATCATTGCATCATGCATAAGACTAATCAAATCATATAAACCAAGAAAGAAAAGAATTGTTTATAATTCACCAGGCACTTCTTAAATAAACTTTTTTTCTGGTATTTCATATTGGCAAAATCATCAATTATATTCTAAAATTCATATTTTTCTTTTTAGATCA